GTCAAATCTATTCTTGAGATGGTCTTTAAATTCAGGTGGGATATACTCAAGGTTGTATTTTGGCTCTTGTGGACTTGCTCTAATTTTCTTCAGCTTTAATTTGAACTTGCATATGAACAATTGATGGTCTATTCTGCAGTCTGTCCCTGGCCTTGTTCTGACTGATGATATTGAGCTTCTCCATTGTCTCTTTTCACAGATGTAGTCAACTTGATTTCTCTGTTTTCCATCTGGTGAGGTCCACGTGTATAGTCACCGTTTATGTTGTTGGAAAAAGGTATTTGCAATGAATAAGTCGTTGGTCTTACAAAATTGTATCATGTGATCTCCAGCATCATTTCTATCAGCAAGGCCATGTTTTCCAACTACTAATCCTTCTCTGTTTCCAGTTCTCACATTCCAATCACCAGCACTTATCAATGCATCTTGATTGCATGTTCGATCAATTTTAGACCACAGATGTTGGTAAAAATCTTCAGTTTCCTCATCTTTGGCATTAGTGGTTGGTGTGTAAATTTGAATAATAGTCATATTAACTGGTCTTCCTTGTAGGCGTATGGATATTATGCTATCACTGACAGCGCTGTACTTCAGGATAGATCTTGAAATGTTCTTTTTGATGATTAATGTGGGGCCATTCCCCTTCAATTTGTCATTCCTGGCACAGCAGACCATATGATTGTCTGATTCAAAATGGCCAATACCAGTCCATTTCAGCTCACTAATGTTGGAGCCCTGGTGGGTCAGAGTGCTGGTGGCATAGTGGTTAAGAGCTTGGCTGCCAATGGCAGTGTGAATCCACCAGCCCCACCCTGGGAACTCTATGTGGCAGTTCTACTCTGTCCTATAGGGTCGCAGACCATGTTCTGCTGCTATTCAGAAGGTTTTCACTGGCCGATTTTTTTTTTCAGAAGTAGACTGCCAGGTCCTTCTTCCTAGTCTGTCTTAGTCTGGAGCTCTGCTGAAACATGACCACCGTGGGTGACCCTGCTGGTATTTGAAATACCAGTGGCATAGCTTTGAGTATCACAGCAACACACAAGCACCACAGTATGACAAACTGACAGATGCATCGGGTCATGTTTCTTTAGCCTCCTTAAATCTGGGACATTCTATAGCCTTTGTTTTTTTATGGCATTGGCATTTCTGAAGAATACAACCTCTCCACACATACATCCCACATGCACTTTTTTTTTTAACAAAATAAAATTCTCCCTCACTTTTGGTTTGTCTGATGTTTCCTCACAGTTACATTCGGGTTATATATTTTTGGCCAGAATACTACATAAATGATGGTTGTGTATCACATTTGAGGTAATACAATGTCCATCTGTTTTTCATTGGATATGTCCATTTTTATCACCAGTCAAGGTATTGTCCGATCTGTCTAATGTATAATTACTATTTTTCCCCTTGCAGTTAATAAGCAGTTTGTAGAGAGAGAATTCAAAACCATGTAAATATTCTTCTCTTCATCAAAATTTCCCCCTAGATTTAGCATCTGATTATTCTTGCCTGATCCAGTCTTTATTAAAATAGATGCAAAATGCTGTTTTCCCAAGTCTAGCAGCCACTCTGCAGTTATCAGTCAGCATGGGACATTCTACTATAAACACGACCCCTCCTTTCTCCCCATGAATGCAATTGAGATTTATATATTAATTTTATACCTTGTTAGCTTTCAGTTTTGTTAATTTAGTTTTTTTATTGATTCTCTAGGGTTTTCCAGATATGGTCCCTTGTCATCTGCAAATATAGTTTTCTTTTCGATTCATATGCATATGTCTCTGTTTTCTCTAGTCTTGCTGTATTTTCTTTTTCTGTCCTACTTTTATCAAGTTAAAGACCAATGTTATACTTGCGTCTCAGAAAGAATTGGGAAATTTTTCTCATTATCTATAATCTGAAGTAATTTTTGTAGTTTTGTGGTTGACTGCCAAAGTTCTGGTTAAATTCCTCTGTGAAACCATCTAGCCTGGTCCTTTCCTGTAGGGTAGTTCCTTGATAATCTTCTTTCCTTCTTCTATGGAAATTAGTCTGTTTAAACTTTCTACATCTACTGAGGTCAGTTTTGGTAAACTATATTTTCCTGAGAAAACCTTTTATTTTAATAGGTGAGTTAATACCATTCATGCTGATTAAAATGACTATTATGTTTGGACTCAATTCTATCATATTGATTTATATTGAAATTACTGTACATATTAAATTTACTGTGTTTTTAATTTTGTGTGTCCTTTTGCATCTTTAATAAATTCCTTTTGGTATTTAGAAAGGTTTTTATTTTTATTCTATAAGTTACATTAGCATTATTAATTTTCATAATGGCTGTATTCCCTCTATTCTTCTTAATCTTTTATTATCTGATATGTCAGTTTTGAATGATACTCCTTGATTGCTAGCCTTTACTTAGTCAACAGAATGATCCTACTCTATTTTCTCCCTTATCATTCCTTTTTTTAAACAACTGCATTTTTTTGATTTTTTTCAATATGTAATGTTTACATATTAGTCTTTTACCCACGAACTCACTCTCATTTTAGTCTCAGCTCTACAATGAAATATACAATGTATTCACTATTTGGAAACTTTTGCCAAAATTATCCTAGTAAATTTTTTGGTTGGATGAGCTCATCTCCTAGATTCTTCAGTAATATCACATGTGTACACTATTCCTTGAGTACTGGCACATTCCAAACTTATTTTCTATGGCCTTGATATCTGAAGGTCAGTTTGGCTATACACAATATTCTTGATTCACAGTTTCTTTCTGTTAGTGTCTCAAAAATGCTGCTCCACTGAGAAGGCTAATGCCAACCTAATTCTATTGCCTTTGTAAGTTATTAAATCTTTCAACTGGAGGCATTGAACATTTTTTCTCTATTTTAAAAGCATTATAGTTTTACTAAGATATATCCTAGAGTTGATCTTTCTAGGTCTAATTTTCCCAGTACCCTATTACAGATTCCGGTCTTCTTTCATTCTTGGAAAGTTTTTTTGGATTATAGTTTTAAATATTAGTGTTCTTCAGTTGTTTTCATTTACTTCTTCAGGAAATCTTTTTACTTTTTGTTTTCCTGATTTTCTTCAATGCCTTTTCATTTGAATATATTCTTCGTTGGACACCTTGCAATTTGTTTTCATTTCTGATATGATTTTGTCTTTGCCTTCTATTTCTTTCCTAAGTTTTATTAACTCTCAGTCCATTTCTTCCTTTTTTTTTTTTTTGGTCAGTTTCTATTCTCACTTTCTTACTTGTGACTTACGCATTCCTTGTAACCTCAAATGCTTGCTTGAAGATATTTAATTAGGTTTGGAGTATCGTGTTAGAGTTTTCTTCAGCTTCATCACTGAATTGTTTTGCAGAGTATTCATTAGCAGGAAAGTGTTAATTCACATTTTTTATTTTTACAGTAGCTTCATAATGATGGGGTCAGATTTTTGTATTCTTTTTTACTTCACAGAAAGAGTTCTTAGTTCAAGAGTACCCTCTTCCATGCAGTTTCTTTTATGGACAGTGTCGTTGATGGTCAGTCGGGGGTGGGCAGGGAGGATTGGTGTGTCTTGTATCTCTTTAATTTCTACAGGATCCATAATTTTCCTCCTCTTATTTCCTTCATTGCCTACGCTGCAAGGGATACCATCTTCTCTCTCTATATCTGATTCTTACCCAGAAGCAATGTTTCTCCAAGGCTGTCACTTCTGGTTGCACACACTTTCTAGCCTGTCTTAGCTATCTAGTGCTGCTATAACAGAAATACCAGACGTAGTCGGCTTTAACAAAGAGAAATTTATTTTCTCACAGTCTAGGAGGCTAGAAGCCCGAATCCAGGGTGCCAGCTCCAGGGGAAGGCTTTCTCTCTCTGTCGGCTCTGTGGGAAGGTCCTTGTCATCAATCTTCCCTGGTTGAGAAGTTTCTCAGTGCAGGGACCCCAGGTCCAAAGAACGTGCTATTCTTCTGGCTCTTGTTTCTTGGTAATATGAGGTCCCCCTGTCTCTCTGCTCACTTCTCTTTTATATCTCAAAAGACATTGGCTTAAAATACAATCTAATCTTGTAGATTGAATCCTGCCTTATTAACATAACTGCCTTTAATCCTGCCTCATTAACATCATAGAGGTAGGATTTACAACACATGGCATAATCATATCAGATGACAAAATGGTGGACAATCACACAATACTGGGAATCATGGCCTAGTCAAGTTGACACATATTTTTGGGGGACACAATTCAATCTATGACATAGCCCATTTCTTATAGCCAGTGCTGAGGACCGCTTAACCTGTATTCTGTATTGTGCAGGTGATTTTGTTTGTATTTCATCTAATTTCTCTACTTGCTTCTTTTCTTTTTCATAGTCTTTTAAGTGTTACCTCTGCTGCGCTCTGTATTCCAGGCTTGCTGTGACAGGTGAACTGCAGGAATTTTTTCTTTCATATTTGATTTACATGTAATTTGAAGGTTGTGGTGTTCTCTCTCACATAGTCATGCTGAAGGTATGGGTCATATATAGTTTTATTTGCTCTCCTTGTCAATTTTATGATTTTTTTTTTGGATAATGTAGGGGAGATTTGAAATCAGGTGACCACCACTGATCTCCAACAATGTTCTACAAATTAAAAAATGATTTACCTTGGAGGTTTTTCTTTCTTTAATGAAATGAAGTATGAATAAAAGGTGAAAAGAAAAGGGAAAAGGAAGGGGGTGGGGTGAAAAGGAAGGGGGTGGGTTAAAAAAGAATAGAAAGGCAAGGAGACTGATAATTTTTGGTCCATGGATACCTGGTTTTGAAAGCAATTTTCAAATAGGAGTTTTAACATTTCTTTGAGCAACAGTAGCAGAGCTTTAACAGACATACTGCTTCCAAAAGTGACTGCTTTTAAGATCTATATAATTTATTTGCATCTATAAGCTCTGGGATATTATAAAGCATTGCTGCTTTACACCTCACCTGTTTACACACACATATAAAAACACAAACATAACCCACGTACTTACTTGTTTCACATTCTGGAGTTCTTCTGTCAATTGTTTCCTTTGCCTTTCTGATTCAAATAATTTTCCCTATATTTAAAAATCACTGAATTAATAACTTATTATGAAGGTATTAATAAGCAGCATATTTAGTCCTTTGTTGCAAAGCTTACAGAACCCTCAAAACATCCAATTGTTACCATCTGAACATTTAGTCCAAGTAAGTTTTCTGGTGTTATGGATATTATTTCAAAGTAATTGGTTATCTACATTATAATTATAATATTGAATTATTTTTCATTACTTTAATTAGCCATTCTGAGGTTCTTGTAAGACTGGGGTGACTATTAGTTTCCTAATTTAATATTAGCACATCTTTAGAATATTACGCAAAAAAAGAAGATATAACTGATTAACTAAAATACAAAACAATAGTTATTAAGGTAGAGGAATCTTATGCACACAAATCAACTATATCATCTCTGAACTTAAAGTCAGGCTTTTACTCTGAAATGCTCAACTTTGTTAAGTATATCATAAATAAACACTTTTTTATTGATCGAATTAGAAATACTAAGAGGATATTAAGAGCACTCTTTGCTACAAACTTGAGCAGAGGACTTGTTTGGACATTAAGCTGAGTGGTAAAGATTCATGTCAGCCGTGCAATGTTTATAAGAAGCAATCTGCTTTCTGGTTTATTTCAGTTCATTCTTTTCTAAGAGGTGAAATGAGGATATATGAAGATGAATATGATAAAGCAATCTAATGAATATGCCACAGACCAGGAGCCAAGAGACTTCTGGCCTCCTTGCTTTATGATCTGGCAGTCACCTTCACTGTTGGTGTCCTAGTTTTTTATGTGTGTAAATGGAAAAAATCTCTGTTTTCATTCACCTTTGCAAAGTGGCAACAAAGTGAACTCTGCAGAAAGGCCTTAAGTTAAATAAAGCTCACAGTACTTTTTAAAACTATTTTGAAAAATGAAAATTAGCCATTGGATCAAATTATTTTGGTTTCATTTTTATCCACACTTCAAATCACACATGAAGAATAGAGATGTCAAGGGATAATGAAAAGTTGTAAGAGACCATCTATATACTCTATGAACTTCATTTAACAGCATCTGTTACTTTCTATGTGTATAAAGCAAGTAAGTAGTAAAATACAAACACTACCTGGAAGGAAATATGTATTGCTTTGTAGACAATTTTGTATAGCTTCTTTAAATGGTTTTCAACCAACAGATATGCTTTGGGTAAAGATAATTATAAGATGTAGAATATGTTTTATCCAGGATTTCAGGTTTTGTCACATTAGGATATGTTCAGTTATACTTCACAAACTTTAAATGTGAATCCTGATTCACTGCATGACTCCTCAGGGAGGCTTTGTTTAAATGTTGCATGAATGTGGTATATACAGCTTTAAATTAAAATGCTGGTAATTAATATTGATATTCAAATGAAACAACAAAATGTTACATCATATTTTGGGATATGTGTATTTTTTCCTCCCTTAAATCACACTGCCTTAATTATAGATTATGTTTGCAAAACATGATATCTCTTAAGCATGCCTCTGAACATGGGAGAAAATATATCTCCCAATGCACATCAGAGGATCCAAAATTGCCACCTCTTGATTTGCCTGCTCCTCATCTAATTTTGCCCTTGCCATCAATGTGACAAAAAAAAAAGGGGGGGACTAAGAAGTAGCCAGATCAGAAGGAATGAGCAAAAACCATTGTTCATGCTAAATCTTACATGGATATTGAGAAATATAAATAATAAATGTGTGAACTAAAAAATTAACTATCTAAAGGCCAGCTGAAGAGATAATTGGATTTTAGCTGTTTGATCTTAATATTCTTTAATTAAAAATAAAACTAAGTCCCAGTTATTCTCAGATAATTCTACTTATCTTTCAGAATTCAATACAAGATAATTTTCTTTATTCCCCCAAGAAAATATAAGGAAGCTAACTTAGAGTTTACCTTAAGTGTATTCACTTTTTCCAAGGCATCATTTCTTTCACGCTTAAGCCTTTCCATTTCATCTGCTTCTAAAGAATCACAGGTAAGAAGCTGTCAATATTAAAATATAAGAGAAAAGTTATACATTAGATCCTAATTGTGAGACCTAATATAAAAATCCTTTCTGACTAGTCTTAGGCTTTTGCATTTTAATTAACAAAATACCGTTTCTTACTTTGGAGTCATTTGATTAGATAAAAGAGATAATTAATCTGAGGCATCTTCCTTCATTTAAGCTTAAACTTAAATTGTTATAACCTTTCACTGTTGTTACTTATAATAGAATTTAGATGATTATGAGGGATACATACTCTCTTATCACCTTTATGATTCTTTTAACAATATAATTTTGTTATATTTTAACAATATAATTTTCCTTAACCAAAATTCCCAGACTGTTTATAACATCAAAAAGACTTTAGGCATCACCAACATAAACTATTCCCTAAGACATCCACTCCCGGTGCATAGTACCTAAGACTAACAAAATGTTGGACATTATCAACCAAAATGGTTCACATGTGTCCAGTTAAGAAGATTTACTGATTATGTGTCTTGTTTTAACTAAACAAAATTTAACATAACAGCCAAGTGGCTTAAAAAGATTTATGCACAGAAACTGTAGATAAAAGATAATATTAATAATTCATGCACAAGTGAACAGCAACAGCAGAAAAACAGCAGAGATGACAATTTCTTTTACTTTTAGCATGATCTCTTTGACAGCCAATTACAAAGTAAAAATATTAACAATCTAACTAAAGATAAAAATCCAAGTACAATGATAGCCATCTTCTTATGGGGAAGCTATAATAGAGCTAAAGAAAGTATAGCAAAGTATAATTTAAAGTAATAAGTGAAGAACGGGATTGCCAACACTCTTACCACTCCTCATTCACCTCTTGGGCAGATATCATTCTACTTATTCTTCAAAGTTCACTTAAATGCCAGCTCCACTATGAATCTTCTCTGAATGCTCTAAGTGTGTTATTAGATTTTGGCCCTTATGACATAATGCCTTTTTTTTTTTTTTTTTTTTTACTATGATTACTTATGTACATGACTTTTCCTTCCACTATACTCTAAGTTACTGGAGGGACAGGCTGAGTCTTATTTATCTTAATAACATGTCGCAGCACCTAACACAAGGCCATGTACACTGTTGTTGTTCAATATATATTTGATGTTTTATAGATGAGTCTTCAGGGAAGTAGTCATCAAAGTTTTATTTTTTTCCTGCTATATACACTGAGAAATACAATTTATATTATGATCCAGTAAAAGTGAAACATTGGTTTACCTTAGCATGTATAATTCGCTTTGATTCAGTTTAATATTTTTCATTCTATTCTATTTCAGTTTTTAAAATGATGGTTGCAATCCACTAAGTTGATTTAACAACAGCCTAAAATGTGAAGACTCTAATTTAAGGCATAATGTTCTCTCTGTGATTTTAACATAGTTCATTCATGATATTTGATCCATCTGGTAAAGCCATGATATTGTGATGGAATACAGCCTGTGTTGCTAAATCCTGAGTACTGTTAAGTGTGGGCAACAACCTTAGCTTTTCTGTGTGTGACCTTGTGACAGCAGTAGGTGTGGCACTGTGTGAATTTTTTAATATAGCAATGATGATTAGAACCACAGTAAGATAATTATACCTTTGGTTCTAAATGCCATGTTCTTCCAAGCCTAATAGTTCTGTGTCAACTACACAAAAGTAGGACTGACTTACACTGACTCAGCAATTCTGCCTTCTTAAAAGAGAACACCTTAAGAAATCTTTTGAGTCTGACAACATGATGAGCAAAAGAGGCTAGATACAAGAGTACATACTGTATGATTCCACTTATTATAAAGTTCAAAAACAGGCAAAATGAATCTATACTTATGTAAGTCAGAATAGTGGTTCTGCTTTAGAGGTGGGAGTGGTGACTGACTGGGAAGTTGGCGTGAGGGAGATTTCTGTGTGCTGATTACACGTACATATATAATAGAAACTTATCAAGTTGTACACATAAGACTTTCGTGCTTTACTGTGTGCACATTATACTTCTGTAAAAACATATGTAAAAATCAATCAAAGAAAAGACAATTTAGCCACCTTTAATCCACCAAAAAGGAGACATATGAATAAAGAGGCAAGCAGCCCTAACAAAATGATTATAAAACCTAACCCTGTTGTTTGTGACACTGATACGGTTGAGGGGTAACCACAGTGGAATTTCCCCACTCACAGACTATCAGCATCCTCGATTGCTGATCAATTGATATGGTTTTAGATGACGCACTACACTGCTCTTTGACTAAAAAAATAATAATAATAATAAATTGGGAATTAAACTATAAAATAATAAGGCATTTTTGATCTGTTTCTGGTAGACCACTTGCTCCCCCCAAGACACACACACAAAAAAGAATTTCGGTACGTGTTTGATATATGCAGTAATTTAAAAAAAAAATTTATTGTGCTTTAGGTGAAAGTTTACAGCTCAAGTTAACTTCTCATTCAAAAATTTATACACATATTGTTTTGTGACACTGGTTGCAATGCCTACAATGTGACAGCACACTCCCGCTTTCCACTCCGGGTTCCTTGTGTCCATTCAGTCCGTTCCTGTCCCTTCCCGCCTTCTTGTCTTGCTTTTGGGCAGGAGTTTCCCATTTGGTCTCATATATTTGATGAACTAAGAAGCACGTTCCTCATGCGTGTTATTGTTTATTTTATAGGCCTGTCTAATCTTTGTCTGAAAAGTGGGCTTTGGGAGTGGTTTCAGTTTTGGGTTAGCAGAGTGTCTGGGGGTCATAGTCTTGGGGGTTTCTCCAGTCTCTGTCAGACCACTAAGTCTGGTCTTTCTTCATGAATTTGAATTCTGTTCTACATTCTTCTCCCACTCTGTCCAGGACTCTGTTGTGACGCCTGTCAGAGCAGTTGGTAGTGGTAGCTGGGCACCATCTAGTTCTTCTGGGCTCAGGTTGGTAGAGGCTCTGAATCTCTGGTCCTTTAGTCCTTTGGGCTAATATTTTCCTTGTGTCTTTGGTTTTCTTCATTCTCCTTTGCTCTGGACGGGGTGTGACCAATAGATGTATCTTACATGGCCGCTCGCAAGCTTTTAAGACCCCAGATACTATTCACCAAAGTGGAATGTAGAACATTTTCTTTATAAACTACGTTATGCCAATTGACCTAGATGTACCCCAAGACTACAGTCCCCAGGCCGCAGCCCCAGCAATTCAGTCCCTGAAGGTGTTTGGATGTGTCTAAGAAACTTCTATGCCTTTGTTTGGTCAAGTTGTGCTGACTTCCCCTATATTGTGTGTTGTCTTTCCCTTCACAAAAGTTGACACTTGTCTACTGTCTAGTTAGTGATTTCCCCTCCCCCTCCCTCTCCCCCCTTGCAACCATCAAAGAATGTTTTTTTCTGTGTAAACCTTTTCTTGAGTTCTTATGATAGTGGTCTCATACAACATTTGTCCTTTTGTGATTGACTTATTTCACTTAGCATAATGCCCCCATTCATTCATGCTGTGAGATGTTTTGCGGATTCATCATTGTTCTTTATCATTGCATAGTACTCCATTGTGTGTATGTACCATAATTCATTTATCCATTCATCTGTTGATGGGCATCTAGGTTGTTTCCATCTTTTTGCTATTGTGAATAGCGATGCAGTGAACATGGGTATGCATATGTCTATTCGTGTAACGGCTCTTATTTCTCAAGGATATATTCCTAGGAGTGGGATTGGTGGATCGTATGGTATTTCTACTTCTAGCTTTTTAAGGAAGTGCCATATCATCTTCCAAAGTGGTTGTACCATTTTATATTCCCACCAGCAGATATGCAGTAATTTTTATAGTGTTTTTCAAACTGTGGGACACTGATCATGAAGCTAATTTTTAAAATTTAAGTGGTGCATTCATATTTAGAACTGAATACTAAATATGGATGCATTGCTTGTAGAAAAAGTAAGTAATGCCCTGGAGAGATATTTTAATCACATACGTGAATACAGTGAGGTAAACTGTATTCTTACGGTGGATTCCAGTTTAATAATAATAAAAAAATCAGTACTTTATGAGGACATCTCACTGTGTGTTGAGAAGCAGAAAACAACAAAGAAAATCTTATAAATTAAATGTAATGACTACTGCACAACATTTTGATCTAAACCCATAAACAGGAAATTATTGGCGTGTAAAAGATATTGCATAATTGCCATCAGCACTTTGCTTTTGCTATCAAAGCATCACAGATTGAACATATTCTTATCTGCCCTAAAATCATTTTGGTAAGAAGGAAGTAAATTACTAACTTAGAGCATGATGATCTGTTTGCAGCTGCTAAAAAAGCTTTGCACGCTCATACAAAGCACTCTGAATTCCCCACTTCTTTGGTATGTTGTAAGCCACCCAACCACCCAAGCCACCTCATCAAAAATGGGAATGGCAGCTTTGAGAACTGTTTGGCAGTAATATAATAATGCTATGTTGTCAACATTAGGTAGATAAACACACAACACTTGAATCAGCATAAAAGCTGCCAGGCAGAAGGAAAACAGTGCTCCTACAGCTTTATTCCTCCTCTCGTAAATGCTACCAAATCAGCTCTGACAAAGCAGTGCCTCAGTTTCGAGAGAAGTGGGTACTCTCCTGAGAGCTTTCAAACAACAATGTCTTTGGGTGATTTCAACTGGCAGCATGCTTAATAATAAAAGAGACTGATTAGTCAATATAACAAAATAGCCATTATATTAATTTATAATATTTTCTTTCTTGTATTCTGTATAATTTCTAAGACAAAATCAAACAGTAAAATTTTTTTTAAAAGCCTACATAGATGACAGATAATGTTCAAGACTTGTGACTTAAGTGCAATCAATGCAACTCTATAAGGCATACATACTCTACCTGTGACTCTGGTATGTTGGAAATTTCACATGCACCAACATTTACGTCGTCCAGCTGCAAGCAAAACAAATTTCTGGCAACCTTGACAAAATCTAAAATGGAACATATTTCAGTAAGAACAGAGCATTTAAACTCATGATTTCTAAAGATCTCAACTTTTTAATATTTAGTTAAAACTATAACTAATGCTAAGACAAAAGTAAGTCAAATTTAACTTATTTACATAAATTACCTTAAAATGGTATTGACTGAGGTGACAGATAAATGTAAGTTCAAATAAGAAGAGATAAACTAGTTTTAACTTACTTCAGTTAACTTTACTGAAATTAATAGATCAGTTAAGAAAATAATAAACACATGTCATACACATATCTAATTCTCTAACTCTTGTATCAAGTGGAACTTTTTTCTGAAACATATGACAACATTATTAACTTATGGCTTTTCTAGTTGGAAGTATCTGAGGTATAATAATAATAATAACAGCAGCTAAGGTTTATGTGGTGCAAATAGTTACCATGCTTGGCTGCTAACCAAAAGGTTGGAAGTTCAAGTCCACTTAGAGGTATCTCTGAAGAAAGGCATGGCAATCTACTTCTAAAAAAGCAGCCACTGAACACCCTATGAAGCACAATCTACTTTGACACACATGGGGTCACCATGAGTTGGAATCAACTTGACAGCAACCGGTGGTGGTGAATGTTTATTTAACATCGTGGTGCAGTGGTTAAAGCGCTCTGCTGCTAACTGAAAGGTCAGTGGTTCAAACCTACCAGCTGCTCCGTGGGAGAAAGATGGGGCAGTCTGCTTCTGTAAAAATTACAACCTTGGAAACCTACTCTGTCCTAAAGGGTTGCTATGAGTCAGAATTGACTTGATGGCAAAGAGTTTGTTTGTTTTTTTAATATGCCAAGTACCAAAAACCAAACCAAACCTGTTGTTGTTGAGTTGATTCCAATTCATATGTGTCAAAGTAGAACTGTGTTCCATAGAGTTTCCAATGGCTATGATCTTTTGGAAGTAAATTACCAGGCCTTTCTTCTGAGGCATGTCTGGGTGGCTATGAACCTCCAACCTTTTGTTAGTAGCTGAGTGCAAACCATTTGTGCCACTCAGGGACTCCAATGCCAGGTACCAAAAAAACAAAAACAAAACAAAAAACCAAACTTGTTGCTGTTGAGTCAATTCTGACTCATAGTGACCCTATAGGACAGAGTAGAATTGCACCATTGGGTTTCCAAGGAGCAGCTGGTGGATTTGAAGTGCCGATATTTTGGTTACCAGCTAAGCTTTTAACCACTGTGCTACCAGGGCTCCATGCCAGGTACAGTGCTTAGCAATTTCATACTCACAGCAATCTGAGGTAGGTCCTCTATACTCTCCATTTTACAGATGAATAAACTGGGGCTAGGTCAAGTAAGCTGCCCAAGGTAACTTGGCAAATAAGCAGAGCAGGGATTCCGGTTAACATCTGTCTGATTCCAAAGCACATGCTCTTAACTGTTATACAGCACCTCCTGACACCAAACCAAAAACCAAACCTGTTGCCATTAAGTCGATTCTGACTCATAGTGACCTTATAGGGCAGAGAAGAACTGCCCCATAGAGTTTCCAAAGACTGCCTGGTGGAGTTGAACTGCCAATCTTTTGGTTAGCAGACGTAGCTTTTAACCATTATGCCACCAGGGTTTCTCTGCCTGATACAGTCCTAGGAAAATATAAGATTCTTCAGAGCACAGAGTGTGACCTATTCATTATATATCCTCTAGTGTTTTTTACTTTGGTGACTATATTTTTAATTTCCTAGGATCATTTTTAAGTTCTCTGCTTGCTCCTATTTTATAGCATTCTACTCTTATTGCATAGATGTATTATCTTCTCTTATCTTTTTATAGTTAATCTGAAGTTCTCTTCTGCTCCTGTATTATTTCTCTCTCTCTCTTGCTTTTTTTTTCCCCTTTATTCTGTTCATCCAATAGTTTTGGGCGCTATATTTTATGCTGGAGAATCTCTCCAAATATCTGGTAACCCTTGGCTATCAGTTCATATGTAAGAGTCAGGCACTAAAAAAGTTGATTGGAAGTTTTCTGTCCATAACTTGCCTTTCAGTTGGTAGTGTTACTACAGGACAATCAGGTGGCCAGCTGACATTTTTGTTCAGTTTCTTCAGAGAGAATCCTACAATCTCCTACCTATAGGTTACAGACATGGCTATAAATTTCACTGAGTAACCTGAGTGTGTTGTGAGCGATGACTTACGATACACTCCTCCAAACTCCCTGGCTGCTGGCAACCATAGGTCCAAAATCTTGTTTGATTTAATATACTTCTTTTCCCCTGGAGCTGAACAGCGTGGTAGTTGCCGGATTGCTTGAGAGGTGCAGGGAACAGCATGTCTAATTGCCCTTTATACAGATTTCTAACAATACTACTAGTTTAAATGCCTTGCCTAAACTCAGCCTTCTGATGTATCTGATGCTTTCAATTCCTAAGCCCTTTCAGGGTTCTGAGGGACAAATCAGCTTGTTCCCCACTGTAATCTTCCTATGTCTTCAGATATTGCAGCTTTAACTGCTTTTGCTCACTAGTTCACTTATTTTCCTCATGCATTTTCTGTCCTCATGTATTCTGGTATTAATTATACATATATTTCAGTTTCTTGTTTGTATAATTTTGGAATGATCTCTAAGAAGAGATGGGAGCAACATTATCTTTTCTTCATTTCAAAACAAAAAGTTGAATTTCCCTTCTGTTAGAAACACAGATGCTTTAAAAATACCATGTTGCATCTACAATATACAAAAAAAATTCAATACTTAATACTGTGAAGGATACAAACATTATTCAAACATTACTAGTGGCAGAACAAAGACATGTGTAAAATGACTCTGGAAAACAATTTATCATCACATATCAAAAGTCCTAACCACTTGTGGGAATTTATCCTAAGAAGAAGAAAAAAAACCTACATTCACAATGATGCTAATATAGAATTATATATAATATCAGTTACTGAGAAACCATCAAAATTATCAATAGTGGACAAAGCTTAATGCTATAGTAAGTCAACTCGGTGTATTATGCTATATTTCATATGAATAATCATATTGTTGTTGTTGTTAGGTGCCATCGAGTCAGTTCCAACTCATAGTGACCCCATATATGACAGAACGAAATACTGTCCGGCTCTGCGTCATCCTCACAATTGTTATGCTTGAGCCCACTGTTGCAGCCACTGTAGCCACTGTGTCAATCTATCTCCTTGAGGGTTCTCCTCTTTTTCGCTGACTATCTACTTTACCAAGTATGACGTCCTTCTCCAGGGACTGGTCCCTCCTGATAACATGTCCAAAGTATGTGAGATGAAGTCTTGTCATCCTTGCTTCTAAGCAGCATCCTGGGTGTACTTTTTCCAAAACAGACTGGTTTGTTCTTCTGGCAGTCCATGGTATATTCAATGTTCTTTGCCAACACTGTAATTCAAAGGTAAAAATTCTTCTTCAGTCTTCCTTATTCATTGTCCAGTTTTCGCATGCATCTGAGGCAATTGAAAACATCATGGCTTGGGTCAGATGCACCTTAGTCCTTAAAGTGACATCTTTGCTTTTTAACCCTTTAAAGAGGTCTTTTATAGCAGATTTGCCCAGTGCAATGAGTTGCTTGATTACTTGACTGCTGCTTCCATGGGCGTTGACCGCGGATCCAAGTAAAATAAAATCCTTGAAAACTTCAATATTTTCTCCATTTATCATGATGTTGCTTGTTGGTCCAGTTGTAAGGATTTCTGTTTTCTTTATGTTAGGGTGTAATCCATACTGAAGGTCTTTGATCTTCATCAATAAGTGCTTCAAGTCCTCTTCGCTTTCAGCAAGCAAGGTTGTGTCATCTGCATATAACAGGCAGTTAATGAGTCTTCCTCCAGTCCTGATGCAATGTTCTTCTTCATATAGTCCAGTTTCTCAGATTATTTGCTCAGCATACAGATTGTATAAATATGGCAAAAGGATACAGCCCTGACTCACACCTTTCCTGATTTTAAACCACGCAGTATCCCCTTGTTCTGTTAAAATGACTGCGTCTTAGTCTATGTACAGGTTCTCCATGAGCACAATTAAGTGTTCTGGAATTCCCATTCTTCGCAATGTTATCCATAATTTGTTATGATCCACAGAGTTGAATGCCTTTGCACAGTCAATAAATCACAGGTAAACAGCTTTCTGGTATTCACTGCTTTCAGACAAGATCCGTCTGACATCAGCAACGATACCCCTCATTCCACACCCTCTTCTGAAGCCAGCTTGAATTTCTGACAATTCCCTGTTGATGTACTGCTGTGATGCTTCTGGATGATCTTCAGCAACATTTTACTTGTGTGTGATATTAATGTTATTATTCGATAATTTCTGCATTCTGTTGGATCACCTTTCTTTGGAATGGGAACAAATATGGATTTCTTCCAGTTGGTTGGCCAGGTAGCTAGCTATCTTCCAAACTTCTTGGCATAGATGAGCGAGCACCTCCAGTGTTGCATCCATTTGTTGAAACATCTCGATTGTATTCCGTCAATTCCTGGAGCTTTGTTTTTCACCAATGCCTTCAGTGCAGCTTGGACTTCTTCCTTCACGTTTGTCAGTTTCCCATACATCTGTCAGTTTGTTGTACTGTGGTGGCCTGCATGTTGCTGTGATGCTGGAAGCTATGCCACCAGTATTTCAAATACCAGCAGGGTCAGCCATTGTGGACAGGTTTCAGTGGAGCTTCCAGACTAAGACAGACTAGGAGAAGGATCTGGCAGTCTACTTCTGAAAAAATTTGCCAGTGAAAACCTTATGAATAACCATATAGTATCATAAAATATTGTATCATATTACCTGAATAAAGAATTAGAATTAATCTCACAGTAGTGAGATTGACACAGTAGATTAACACAGTGGCTGCAACAATGGGCTCAAACATAGCAACGACTGTAAGGATGGTGCAGGAATGGTCAGTGTTTCGTTCTGATATACACAAGGTCACTATGAGTTGGAACCGACTCGATGGCACCTAACAACAACAACGACATCTTTTGTTCTGTTTCTTTTGTTATTACTAAAGCAATGTTTATGATATACCCGTAAAAAATACCAAACCTGTTGCCATCGAGCTGAGTGGATGGCAATGGGTTATACATAAATGTAAAAGAATATGATAGAATGATGATATTTTAGAGCTGAAAGTTCTAATACAGTTCTTTGTGCTGACTCAGCCAGGCCAATAATTCTAGCTGAGTTTTTAGAGTACTGATTACTTGAATAGATGTGGTCTTATTTTTCTCTTTCTCTTAAAGCTCTTAAAGAATGGACAATCTTAATAAAAATGGGTCCCAATAACTCTTCAACCAAATTTCTGAGACTATTCAACATGATGAATCTAATATTACCTCCAAAAGACACTGTTCCCCTTGAATCTACTTGCACTTGCTGTCTCAAAGCTTGGTGCTGTTCCTCCGTGGGCTGAATACCAAGATAATTTAGAGCCTAGAAGGAAGAGGACTCATGTGAAGCGATTTTTCAAATCTCCAAAGAATAAAATTTTACATTACAACTTTATTTTATAACACAGTGGAAAAAAAAAAAAAATCAATAGCAGGAGCAGTGACCAGAATGAAGAATTAGATGCCCAAGGGAAGTTTGCTATTTATGGATTACTTGCCTATAAAATACTAGCTTCCTGATTCCACCAACACCACAACTTTTTTCAAGGCCAGCACTTCGGCTTATGCCAAACTTATAAGCATAGCACAAGAACAAAAAAATCAAAATCTTTCTTAAGTTTAACATATATAATTTGGCGGAAGAAAAATAGAAAGGGAATACTATTAAATGAAATTTAACATTAATCTCTGTACGTAACACTCTAAAACATGAAACAAATTTTGTTAATTTCTTGTCATTGAGACCAAAACTGAAGTTGGTAGGAATTGGGTTAAACAGAAAATATTCAAATTTTTGGCTTGTCAAAGATACCAAACCAAAACAAAACCCGCTGCCATTGAGTTGATTCCAACTCATAGCGACTCTATAGGACAGAGTAGAACTGCCCCATAGGGTTTCCAAGGAGCAGCTGGTGGACTCAAATTACTCATCTTTTGACTAGCAGCAAGCGCTTAACCAGCGTGCCACCAGGGCTCTGGCACCCATCTCTCTTTTTTTCTCAGGGTCTTTCTTATAGGAAATCTACTTTCTCCTTTTAGCACTCACAGTTGATTAAAAATGGCAGAAATTGCTAGCTGTGTTCCAATGTCCATATTCTTCTTCTTTTTCTTTTCTTTTTTTTTTAGCTAGGCATATTGCCGTTCAGCTAAAAAAAACATTTCTCAGCCCCTTTCATAGCTTGAAGAAGCAATGTGACTATGCACTGGACCATGAGATACATGGAGAACTGCAGTAGAGTACTTCCAGGAAGTCTCCTTGCAAAAGCAGAGGTGGGCTCTTCTTTGTTTGGCTTAATAGTAATAACAAAAGATTGCTGGAATTTGAGCAGTCATCTTGGTTAATGAGATACCTCAGTGAGGATGGTGGAGAAGCAAGATAGTTGGAGCATGGGACCCTGACACTACAGAACCTCCATGCCAGCCCTGGTTACCTTTCTTCAGGCTTCTTTTAGCCGTGAGAGAAATAAATTTCTAATGGAAATCACTGTTATTTTGGGTTCTCCAGTTATACATAGCAACAACTAATCTTAACTAATGCGTAGGGTCTGACTGGATGCCGTTACTGAATTCTGACAAGAAAATATATAGTATCAATCACTGTAGGCGAAGTTTAAAGGTAGGTAATCTTTACTATTGGCAATTGTCCCCTTATAAATTTCTTCCTTTTTTGGAATCTGTTTAATCATTTACCATATATTTATGTAGTGCTTATTATTTGTCAGGCACTAAATTATCCCCAAGAGAAAATCAAACAAGATATAGTTAGTCCTTACCCTCAAAGAGCTTATGGTCTCCAGGGTGAGAATAATATGTAAATAAATGTAATAAAGTATAATACATGACATAATAGAAGTCTGTATGGGGTATTCTATGGCAAAAACAAAATGGTTAACGTACAGATGGATAATATGACTGGAGACAGTGAGAGAAGGAGAGAGTAGCAAGGGAGATTATCAGGAAAGACTCCTTCAAAAGTGATTCTTAAGCTTAGTTTAACATCATCTGTCTACTCTATCTACCCAGTCATAAGTATTTGCCTTACATAACCTTGAGTCATAATTATTAACTTTGTGTGTTTTTTCCCTTCAGTTATAAAAATGTTCCAAATATACTCCCCTAAAAAAAGTACAGAGAATAACACAAAAGACACCCATGTATCTGCTGTCATCAAATACTCATTGATATTTGCTTGAAATTTATATGTATTTTTAAAGAAATAAAACATTGCAGACTTGTTTGAACACTTTCCTTATGGGTCCTCAACAGTAACCACTATCCTAAGGTTGGTGTATTCTTCCTGTTCACGACTTAATGCTATTACTATATAAGCATGTATATCTAAATAATATGTACTCTTGTTTTGCACATTAGATTTTTTACATAAATAGTATAAAAGGATAACACTACAAAATATTTTTATTTTTACTTCAATGTTATGATTTCACAATTTTTCAATATTGGTATCTGTAAAACTAGTTCAGATATTTTAACTTTAAATAGTATTTCATTGTATGAATATAATTTATTATCCATTCCGATTGATGGGCTTTTATAATTATTACAACCTGTTTTTATTACAAAACATTATAAATGTCTCCTTGTACACATGTGTGACAATTTTTCTACAGTATATTGTGATACATATTGTCAACTTTATTAGATATTAAAATTGTTCTCCAAAATGGTTATACCAATCTACGCACGTTAGTAGTATATAAGCATTCCTACTTCTTACATTCTTAACAGCATCTGGTGTTTTCATGCTTTAATTTTTATCAATATGGTTGATACAAAATAGTATGCCCCTTTTTAACTCCCTTAATTATAGGTGAGATTGAGCATCTTTTACTTGTTTATTATCTATGTTTTCAACTCATGAATTATTTAGAAATATGTTTTAAAATTTTCATAAGAGTATTAAGAAATATCTTTCAGTTATTGATTCCTAATTTGGAATCTGACATTCTGGCAAGAGAAGATGACCATTTCTTTGATAACTGTGGAGACTTTCTTTGTGACCTAAACCCATTGCTGTTGAGTTGTTTCCGACTCACAGCGACCCTATAGGACAGAGGAGAACCGCCCCATAGGGTTTCCAAAGAGTGGCTGGTGGATTCCAACCATTGACCCTTTGGTTAGCAGCCAAACGCTTAGCCACTGCACCATCAAGGACCCTTGTGACCTAGGGCATGGTCAATTATCACAAATACTCTACGCGTGATTGAGAAGAATGTAAATTCTTTAACTGCAAGGTGTAGAGTCTACATCCTTACTAATTTTTTATTTCCTTGGTTTCTCAATTTAAAAGAACGGTGTGTTAAAAAAAACAACTCCTATTACAATAGTGGATTTATAAATTCCTCTGTGAAATTCTGTCAATTTTTTACTTTAAATATTTTGAGGCTATGCTGTTAGGTATATACTGATTCAAGATTTTTATATTTCCTGGGTAAATTATTCATTTTTATCATTATAATAAATCTTTTTATCTCTAACAATGATTTTTCCTAAAGTAATGGACAGAGCAGAACTGCCCCATTGGGTTTCCAAGGAGCGGCTGGTGGATTTCAACTGCCGACCTTTAGGTTAGCAGCCAAGCTCTTAACCACTGTACCACCAGGGCTCCTAAAGCAATACTTTTTCCTAAGAAATCAAATGACATATTTCATTGGGTAAAATCTGCTGCAAAAGACTTCTTTAAAGTGTTGAAAAGCAAAGATGTCACTTTGAGGACTAAGGTGCAGCTGACCAGATCCACGATATTTTCAATTGCCTCACAAGCATGTGAAAGCTGGGCAGTGAATAAGAAAGACTGAAGACTGCATTTGATTTATGGTATTGGTGAAGAATATTGCACACACCATGGGTGGCTAGAAGAACAAACAAGTGTGTCTTAGAAGTACAGCCAGAACGCTCCTCGGAAGGGAGAATGGTGAGACTTCAGCTCATGTACTTTGGACATGTTATCAGGAGGGACCAGTACCTGGAGAAGGACATCATGCTTGGTAAGGTAGAGGGTCACTGAAAAAGAGGAAGACCCTTGACGAGATGAACTGACACAGTGGCTGCAGCAATGGACGCAAACATAGCAATGATTGTGAGGATGGTGAAGGTCGGGCAATGTTTTGTTCTGTTGTATGTAGAGTTGCTATGAGTCGGAACTGACTCAACAGCACCTAACAACAATAACGCTTTTTCCTAAAAATCTATTTGCATGAAAACAATATAGCTACATAAACTTTTTATTAATTAATATTTACTTGGTATACCTATTTCTACCACATATAAATATGTTTATGTATAAATACATATAATTTTATTGAAAAAATATTCAAGCAATACGGCAATTTATAAATTGAGAATCCCTTATAATCTACCCTACTCTACAGCAGGTTTTTCAACCTCAGGATTACTGACATTTTGGGCCAGACAATTCTTTATTGTGGGGAGCTCTCCTGTGCACTGCAGGGGACAATGTTTAGCAGCATCCCAGGCCTCTACGTACCAGATGCCAGTAGTAACCTTCCCCTCCCACCTTGAGAACAACTGCTCCAGAGATAAACACTATTAACAGTTTGGTGTATAATTTTCCATATTTTCTCTACAAAAAGTGTGTGTGTGTGTGTGTGTGTATAATATTTACATATGTGCATATGAATATAATATGTACTTTTTTTTTCCAAAAATTAAATTACCTCTTGTGGAGAGGGAGAGGTATATATGATCGAGAAACACACTGAGTGTCAAAGGTTCTGATTCTAATGCTGGGTACATGTGTTTGTTTTATCATCATTCTTTATACTGTGTATGCACAGTATATATATTCTTTTGTATGATTGATATTTTTCATGTAAAGAAATAAAAGTAATTTTATAATAGTAATGCAAATAAAGCACCTATCACAGTGGTTCTTATTATATTAACTAATAATAAAATTGTACAATGCAATCAACTATAGTGTAAACTGAACGAAAGCTAAACTTAGTAATAGGTGAAATTGTTGTTGAGAGTAAAATTTACTCTGATGAATACAGCGTATCATATTCGTCAGGGCAAGCTCATAAATTTAAATTGGAAGTAATTTATTTTTGATGAAAAAGTTGGTTCCAATACTTTCTTGAATGACTAAGGTCATCTTTTAACCTTAAACAAAAATGCAAGCTTACTAACTGGACAAATAAGTGTTCCTGACTTCTCTTGATGTTTGAATGATGAATTAAAAAATGTCTTTACAACATTAGTCACACACTTCCCAACAGAATATAAAGAACATTTTATTAACTGTACTCAGACACTGAGTATGCTGCTGCTCACTACAAGTTTTCTTCACAAGTTACAGAAATGGCAGAGGTAAAGTAAAGATCAGTGAAATGGTAGCTGTATCCCAAAGCATCTTTCTCAGGTATAAATATACAGATAGTGCAGAGGTGCAATAATTCTTTGACTTTAAGCCAACTAATAAATTGTATTCCTATTTGCAATATTTACCATGCCTACTTATAAGTTTGGAGCCCTGGTGGTGCAGTGGTTGAGAGCTATGGCTGCTAACCAAAAGGTGGTCAGTGTGAATCCACCAGCTGCTCCTTGGAAACCCTATGCAGCAGTTCTTCTCTGTCCTACAGGGTCGCTATGAGTTGGAATCGATTTGATGGCAATGGATTTTTTTTAGTACTTATAAGTTTAACGTTCGGATCAAATGAAACACAGTACTTGCAAAAATACTTTGAAAAAATAGATAACTACAAATAACTATGGTGAAATTATTTTTTAATATCTGTATATTAACCCATTGCAGGGTATTCATTGGAAGAAGCAATGGTAAGTGCATTTTTTCAGACAAGAAATTAAGAAAGAACTATTTCAGTGTTAACAAATCGCTTTCCGGTATATCTGGATAAAAAATTCTCTATTTTGACCAGTAAAACATAGAGGATTTCATGAAGACAATGCCAATGTGTGTGTGTGTGTGTATGTGTGTGTATGTGTGTGTGTGTGAGAGAGAGAGAGAGAGACATTCTCTTGACAGGTAATTTCCTTAATCAAATTCTAACTTCTCTGCCCTCCTTAAAAATTGTACTCAGTAGGCTAATTATTTAATAATAACCACATAATTAGTCAACATCTTTTTCTTACAAAACCTGGTTATAAGACCAATTTTCTAGATGCTGTGTATGATACAGAAAATAAAGATATAATTTTACTTTGTTTTAAATACTTGATCACATTGGCCTTTTCTATTACCAAATAGGAAATATATTAAAAATTTAATGGATCATGAAACTGAATCTGTCTATAAAATAACGATTAAAATAGATGAACCTGTTTTAAATTAACGTGAGACTCATTATATTAATATATAACTATAAAAAAGAACAGTAGCTTAGAAAATACAAGTATTTAGAAGATAGAAGCTAATTTAAATTTTAGGAAAAACCTTCAGTGAAATATAGTCTCCCACTCTGAAAACCAAGAATGATCTACTAAAAGATCACTGTATCTTGAATAAGAGCAGAGAAACTGAGTTTACAGTATGTGGTTTCCTGTGCTATAAAACTGCCATTTTATTTTTCCACAGGATAATCCATTTGCTTAGGATAAAAGGAGGATGAAAGATTGGAATTCTGATTAAATGTCAAGCAACTCATGTTTCTCAGAATGAAAATTGAGATGATTTTCATATCTCAAAGCAAATTAATCAGAATTAAAAATAACATTATGTCCTAGAAAAATTTAAAAGGAGTAAAAGAACAAAGGCGGCTAGGTAAAGCCACTAGCCAGATAATTTTCTCTTTTTCCAGAAGAATGGTTAGTTATTACATCTTGGATGTTCAGAAATGTATGTTAAATCAATATAATTAAAAAACAACAGTTATTCATTTTTGGATATGTAATATACACATTTCCCAACCTCAATCACTCTATTTTTGAAAATGCTGATATCAGTTGATTGCAAACCTTGCCGTTAGACAGAACTGATGCGAAGGGAAGGGTGCGGACCTCCAGCACAATATCCGTTTTACATTAAAAAATGACATAGCACATTCTTCCTGTCAGCTCTCTGGCAGTCTGGTAGAAACGGTTTTATGATACTTTTCTATCTTTGATTTTTACTTTTTTAATCATCTTAAGTTGTTTTAACATACAGAAGCTTTTAATGTTTTACTCCTCCCAGGACTATTTTTTGGTGCCTTAGTACACTGCTTACGGTACCATCTTCTTTATATTTAGTGAGTATCAGAATATTTTGTTCTTTAGGATTTAGTTTCTCTTTAATTTTGTCACAATTAGAAAAATTAAATATTACTTCATTGCATTTATTCTATTATATGTGGAACCTAATACATTTTGTCATAATTTATTCCATGTTTTTTTTTTAATTCTGGATTATATAACATTATATTTGTCTCATTCACAAAGAGGAAGAAACTCATTAATTTAAATGTCAATTTAATTACAAAAGGTTTTATATCAGTTTAGAACTAGCAGACCAACATGAACTGTCTAACTCAAAGATGAACTGAATAATCTAAATCCGAACTACCATTCATTTAATTGTAAATCAGTAACTCATCAAGACTCCAGTACTTCATTCTCTCAAAGACTGAGAATGCTTTCTTGCTGTTGTTTTACGGGAGAAAAGTAGAAATTTAAAGTATTTACCATTTCCAGTTTCTCTGCCTTAAGGCAAACAGAGGGATTTAGGGAAATCTTCTTTCCTTGTCCGTAATTATCCGTCCAGGCAGGGGCAATATCTAAGAGACAACAAGGTGCACCTTAATTGGAAATTTAACTGGAATAGAACTTTTCATTTGACAGGATGTGCTCTGGGCTCCTGTTGTTCAAAAATAATTCTGGCTAAACAGCTGGCAGATTTCACTTTTGTTTTCATTATTATTTCTCTTTGAATCTAAAATGTACCATAAAAACCAACTTCACTTGAGTCCTGAGAGATATAAAAAGAATGGCCAATTATGCATAGCTAAATCTCAGGGAAATATTAACTTAAAAGACAAACATATACCCCACCATCATCCCAATGCCTTACTAACTGTAAGATAAAGTCTCTTTCAAATAAAGTAAAATCTTATGAAAATTTTAAAAAGATTATAATAAATATTTAACTGGCAAAAGTAATTTTATTATATGAATTTTGGAAGTACCCTGGAAAAATCCATAAATGCAAATCAGTTCAAGTTTGTACATAAAGTATGATATAGATTCAGAATTTTTTTAATTAAAAATTCTACTTCTTATTTTATAGAAGGATTGTATTTCCAGTATCATAAATGGACTCTCAAGAGTTGAGGTTCACACATCTCTCATCCATTCTCTAAAACTTTCTCAATATACCCTGATTATTTAGATGAGCCTTTGCCCCTGTTGAATGAATGAGAAAAATTATTCTTTTTAATACACCAAAGGTTATAAATCAAATCCCTGTAATTCATATCAATCCTTACTATCTAAATTGTCACTATTCTAAATAAACTTTAAAATGCTATTTTACTAGTTCTACATAGAAACAAGAGGAAGAGAAAAAACTTTTCTAAAATGTCACATCTTTATGCAGTGTTTTAATTTTTTTAAATTTCTCAGAGCATCTGTCTCTAAGTACAAAATAATTTGCATTCTCTTTCTTAAGAACATAAGAGGCTCATATGAAAATAAATGGTCTTCTTCTTCTAAACCTTTAACACATCTTTAACATTCTATGTAAAATCCTGAATATAGTTTATAGGTGTCAAGATCATTAAAAAAAAAACAAAACTGGTTCCTGACTTTTGGTTTCAAATGGAATCAAACCTTGAGTTGGTATCAGAAAGACTGGTTTTTAGTATAACAGAAGTTTCACAATTCTGATAAAAGCAACAAAGTCTCCTTTGTTAATGTGATATCTAACTGTTGGTCATACGATGAAAAATACTGTATGTATTTTTTTTCTCTTAAGAAAGATTCTCTGCCACACCTGAAGTGTGCCATAAGAGACCAGCATGGAGTGGTGTAGTTTGCTAGTCGAAACATTAGGTAAGTCAAACTTTATTTTTCATTTTTAAGGTTTGTTCTTGTGAGGCTAGTACTTGACAATGACTTCCATTTTGGTGCCTGACCTGTAATTAAGACACACTAACACTAGGTGGACCCAAGCTGACCTGGTTATGGTCTCAGACCAGGACTTCTCCAGGGCATGAATTACTCAAATCAAGTGTAAGAGTGTGGACCGGTAGGGAAGGGGATGAGAGCAAATGGGAGAAAGATGAAAGGAGAGGAGTACACACACAGCATACACACACGTGCTGAGGCACGCATTCTCACTTATGTTTTTTTTGTATCTAAGCATAAAAATTTGTCATTTGTTACACTGGAAATAACAGAAGATCAGCTCTTATTTATTTTTACTTCAGTATTAGGCAGTGTACTAAGGACTTTACATAAATTAGCTTTTAAATCTTCATAATAACAATAACATAGGTGTTTTTATTCTATTAAGGACTGAATTGTGTTCCCCAAAAAGATACACTGAAGGTCTAATTCCTGCACAGGTGAATGTGATCTTGCTTGGAGAAATAGGGTTTTTCTTTGCAGATGTTATTGGTTAAATTAAGGAAATCATACCAGAAGAGAGTGAGTTCTAATCTTAATCTCCTCTGATTAGGGATGTTTACATGGCATCTTACAAAAGTGAAGGACAGACATGGAAACAGAGTCACACACAGGGGGAAGATAGCATGAGATAAACCCTCTACAAGCCAAGGAACTCCAAGAAACACTTGGAGCTGCAGAAGCTTGAATTCAGACTTCTAGCTTCCAGAACTGTGGGAAAATAAATTTCTGTTCTTTAAAGTTACCCACTTTGTGGTTATTTGTTATGGCAGCCCTAGCAAACTAAGACATATTCCCACTGCAAAGATGAAGAGACCAAGGCCCAAAGGGGTAAAGAAACTAGCCCAATGTCACACAGCTACGAAGGATTTTAATCTCTTGTGACTCTGAAGCTAATGTTCTTAAATGTGTCAACAGCTTTCTTTCATCATCAGTTTTCCCATCTGCAAAGTAGAAAGAATAAAACAGAACACCTCGCAGGAGCTGTAAAGGTAAAATCAATAGAAAACTACTTTGAAAACTATAGAGTATTGTTAGTATTGACAACTAACTGTATTTATATAGGAAATTTTATGCACAATTTTACTAACTCCCCACTTAACAATATGCAATCACTGCTTAACAAAATCTTGTTTTCTTCCAGCCAACTCTCCTCTACATCTTTGCCTTTGAGACAAAACCTTAAGAAGGACTGTACATAAATCCAGCATGCTTTGGCAATTCACGGTAGCTTGACCCGAAAGGGCCCTCAATACACAGTCTTCCTTATTTGTCAATGACATCTCTCTATCCCAGGCTCAAGCTCTTTATTTGCTCTTATCTGGGAGTGAGAATTTTCAAAGTATGGCTTATTATTACTATGGATCTTCTGTTTCTTCTCTTTTTAAGAGCAGACGAAAGGGAATAATTTTATAAGGGTGAGAAAAATACCATTTGATTAATACCATGAACCCTCAATGGATATTTTTCCCCATCACTACTTTGTTTCATTTTCAAAGACTTTGTGCAGGGCATTAAGGCTTGGTTTAAATTATTGATAGTATTTCTTCATGCAATTATTTCTTTATTGATTTCCTTCAGAATGTCTTTAGCATACTTTGAGCTCATTCACAAACTCATGCCTTATTCAACTTATGGCAATAGTAAATGACTCTGGATTTGGAAATAAGAATTTTATACAATAGGATAGTTTTTAAAAACATATTCAAGTACTATACAGATTTAAAAAAATTCTAAGCAGTTTCACATTTTGGGAAGATTTGGGGATGGGAACAGCGATGGGTTTACCTTATTAAGTTTTTTTTTAGGTTAACATAAAACTTCATACTTTTTGAATAAAAACCAATTGGTTGAAGGAGTCTAGAAGTGATAATTAATGAGCTAACTTGGGAATAATCTATAGTTAAGTACTTATAACAGACAAACCACAATGTATATGTTACCTAGAGTTAATTTAGAGTTGACTTTGCTTTTTTTTCTTTCCAGAAATATCTGCTTAGTATATTTATGTGAAAGTGAGAAAATGGGACTGAGTTGATGCTATTTCTACCCTAGAAAAACTTTCCCTTTTAATTGTATTTTTTATTTACTTTATATACAGCTTACTAACTTGAATATTTTCTCATTAAATTATTTTTCTGTAAAAAGTCCAGCATCGTTCCTTATAGTCACTGGTGTGAATTTATCACAGTTTATTCATGATTTCATTGTAGGATCCCTTTGCTCTAATCAAACTTGTCTTCTAGGGTCCTTTGTTATTGTTGTTGTTAGGTGCCGTCGACTCATAGCGACCTCATATGACAGAGTAGAACTGTCTCATAGGATTTTCTAGGCTGTAATCTTTACAGGAGCAAATTGCCAGTCTTCCTCCTGCAGAGCTGCTAGCTGGATTTGAACTGCCAACTGTTTCGTTAGCAGATGAGGGCTAACGATTGCGCTACGAGGGTCCTTAGCTATTTTCTTTTGCTCATGGTTCTTCCTTCACTTGGAATGATTTCTTACCTTCACTTTATCGTTTGATGTTTACCACTTCATTCAAGATTTGGATGATGTTTGATTTTTACCAAGGAATTTTTCTTAACTAATTTCTGCATACTGAGACAAATACTCTTAGTATGTACTAGTTTTACGGTGGAGAGGAGGACAGAGGATTGAATCAAAGGTTGAAAGTTTTCACTTCTTCTCTAAACACGTAAGTTGGAATATTATGTGAGCTGCACTCTAGTCTGCAGGTTCAGTAATACTCACAGCAAAATTTACTGAGCACATACTACGTACTAATTACAATGCTAAGTGTCAGACATGCATGATCTCATTTAATACTCACAACAACCCCAGGAGGCAACCACCTCAAGGTTACACAGCTAATAAACCGGGAGCAGAGATTTCAGCCTCCAAGTTTGCATTCAGAGCCTAGTGGTGAACCACTGTGCCTTCTCTGCACCACACCTGGACCACTTCCTACTTCTCTCCTTAGCCTACTTTGTTCATATCTTTACATTCGTTATTTGTGTAATGTGTTATTCATCTATAAGACATTATGTTCCTTAAGAGTTCTAAAACCATTCACACCCTGATACAGTTTTACACAGAGCACTGCATATAGTACTTACTCTATAAAATAAACATACACACACAAACACAAACATATATACACACACACAGTTAAATGTTTTCTAATCTGAATAATGAAGGATTTTTTAACCCAATCTTTTGTTTCACAATATACTGTCAAGTATCTCATAGGAAACCTAATTCCTTCATAATTCTTACTGTACTGTTGTTTAAACATATGAAATACTCAATAAATGCTTATTGAATAGATGACTAAGAGGTATAGCATAATTCAGTTACTTTACAAATTAAACACATATTAATATTTTATGATATAGTCGAGACAAAAGACCTTGGCTTATGCCACCTAGCAGTTCTGATCATTGTACCCACATCTCCTCACCACCATTTGCCTCTTTAATATATTGTTGTCTTCTCAGCTCCTAGTTTAAAATAAAAACACTACATAAAGAGACTGGAACTTAATTACATAAGGAAAATAATACTAGTAAAGTTTCTAGGAGTCAATACATCCTACCAAGTAAAAAGGCACATATAATTTATCGCAAAAGATTGGTACTAACCTACTGGTAAATACTGTCCCAATCAGAGGAAACTACTATAGAATCTATCACAAATTTCTTTTAAATTTGGTAGAAACTTAAATAAGCCAGCTCTTCTTTACTTTGCAATTCTGATCTAGATAATGCTATTAAAAATTGAAATACATAGGTGACAATTTGCATTATAATTTGAATATATACAATTAGCTTTTCTTATATATAAGTATAGTTCTTGTTGTGTTTAAGTTTTAGAGATAATTTCAGGGGGGCTTTTTTTAATTTTTATTTTTATTGTGCTTTAAGTGAAAGTTTACAGTTCAAGTTAGTTTCTCATACAAAAATTTATACACACATTGTTATGTGACCCTAGTTGCTCTCCCTATACTGTGACAACACACTCCTCCCTTCTACCGGTGGGGGAGTTTCTTGGTATTTCAGCCAAGGAGCACTTTAGAGCCTGATAAAAATCCTCTTTTTACCGGTAGCTTATGTGATTAATTCTTTATTGTTTTAAAATGTCAGTAAATCATTTCATGATAATTAAGATCCAATAATACTGAATTCCCAAGATGGACTTACTTCGTAATTTACATCTATGTTATCTCTTCAAAAAACAAAGTATATTTATCTTAAAATACGTGCCTCTCTAAAATGTGTTCTCTGAAATGTATGTTTAATATGTTTCACCAATATTTCACTCAAAAGACAAGGCACTATGATCTTGATTTATAGAAGAGTTTTCATTATTTGGTTTCAACAGTTCATTAATTAATACTGCCTGATATACACTGTTATGGTAATGCATCTTTTAAAATTTCAACTCTTTGTTCACGGAAATTTCCGTGATGATGATGGAAATTTCCAATAAAAGTCATACTCTAACGGGGACCACTGGACACTACATTCATTTTGCTCCTTTATTCATTGAAGGCAAAAAGAAATAATGTACCCTTCTTTCAAGTCTATTAAGTCACATTATGTACTCCTCACTGAGAGAGAGTAATTGAAAAAATAACGGGAAACAGGAATTAAATGTACCTTTACCTGTATTAGACATATCCGTAGGGCTGTCGTCTGAGGAAGTAATTGGAGTCTGTTCTGTTTTCTTGTATCCAGTTTTTATCTATGAAAGAAAATGAGGAACATGAAATGTCATTTTTGAAAGTAGGTCAAAGACCAGACTAGATGCTCATGTTAACATAAAAAGGATGGTTAAAGAGATTAAAGCAATATTAAAAAAAAAAAAAAAAATGTGAAACCTCTAAAACTTGGTATAGTCATCTTCAAACAAAGCAATTGTGAATTAAAGGTAAAAATTGCTTTCAGCTCTGCCATATCCAAACAACAAAATATAAAGCCATGCACCGTGTCTTTTAAAAGGTCTTACAATTGCAAACGACAAAGTATCAGGAGCTGAAAGGAAACCTTAAATTCTGTCTCTGACCAGCATGTACCTGAAACTAAATTTACCTTTGACAAACTGTATTCTACTGACAGAAAGCCTACTTGAGTTTCCTATTTTATTTTACAGCTAACACATATTTAATGAATGCATGTTCTATTTTATAACTCTGATTTGTTAGGGCACTGTAGAAATTAGTAATTAATTACATGAATTTTGATCTAGAAATTCTCTGTTTTGTGTAATCCTAATAGGGTGAACTACATTCTGGTGTGCATGTGAGGAACCATATCCACCTAGACTGGATGAGTAGGGTTAGCCTCACTGTGTGGTAAAAAAGCTCAGGAACAAAAAGGGAGATTGCCTGATTTCAGTCTAGCAGAAAACAGAAATGACAGTAATCTGAACCATATTAGGGGCTGTCTGACACTAAACATGACACACCTAACATAGTTTTGAGTGATACCTAAGTGTATCTTTGTGGTGCCATTGTATCATGTTGATATGTTCTAACTGATCACGATTCTCTGGATGTAGGACACTGAATTGAAAAACTGTGTTTATTGACAGCACAGTATAAAATATTAAACATTAAAAAAAAAACTTTCAAAGAAATACTGCTTTATTAACACTGTATTATTGAAATTATAATTCTATGTGTATTTAAGAAATATAAAAACATATAGAGGATTTATGAACTGCCTAAATGAACAGACGAATTTAAGCTGACCTGACTTGTCTTAAAAGAAGGTAAAATGGCATCTTTTGTTTTGGGAGTAGATGTGGTCTTTGGAATTAGTATTTCAGGAGGAGAAGAAAGAAGACTGAAGGTTGAGGTCTGAGGTCCATACTCTCCTGAAGCTTGCAAAATGGATGTACGTGATGGATTGTCTGGGTGACTGCCATCAGATTTTTGTCTTATGAATGCTATTTCCCAAGCAGATTCTGATCTGGCATTAAAAAGAAATCATTTTATAGGTACGTTATAGATATATCCCCCCCACCAAAAAAAAAACAAAACAAAAACCCACTGCCGTTAAGTCAATTCCAACTCATAGCGACCCTAAAGCGTTTCCAAGGCTGTAAATCTTTACAGAAGCAGACTACCACATCATTCTCCCACAGAGCCTTTGGTGGTTTCAAACTGCTGACCTTTTGGTTAGCAGTTCAGCAAATTAACCACTGTGATACCAGGGCTCCTACAGATATAGTATAATTGAATTCTAAGACAATGTTTCCAATATTATCAGAAAAAAATATGTCAGAGTCTAAAGTACTTAAGGCATTTAAAATCACTATTTTTAAGAAGACATGCTAAGGGACTCATTATATCTTATGGAGAGGATAGTTACTTCAACTTGGCTCTGGTAATTATGCTTTTTGCTTCTTCGAATGATACACCAATCATGGATTCCTTGTTTATTGAGACAAGCTGATCTCCTGGCTTCAAACGTCCATCCTAAAAAAAACCAGTAAATTTTAAAAAGAAATGAATGAGTTTTTTTTAAATATTATTATCGTTAATTAATGCAATTAAAAGCAAAGAAATGATTTAGTGAAGAATATTTAAAAAAAAAAAAACTTAGACAAATTGCCTCAATAGCAAAACATTTTGATTAGAGCCTGGTTTGATAATACATGTGAGGGAAATTGAACTATTCATGTAATCTTTCAATAAACTTGCACACTAAGGAATCCTGAGCATATAAGGACACAGACCGGGACATCAGGAAAAGAGATCTGTTTCAAAAGCTTGGCACTATGACACCAATAAAGCTCTGACTCTATGATAAAGCAGGCCACATAATCCTGGGATATCTCAGAATAAGAGATGCATTCACTTTAGTTTCTGAACATTCCTGCATCTTTCATGTAACCAAGCTGTTAAGATTTATCCCACATTTATAATAAAAAAGAATTCAGTCAACGATCTGAATTATATTGACCTTATCCATAATTCAGCTCATGATCAAACATATTTACTGGATCTTTACCCCTCCTATGACTCAAGCCAAGTTGGCTGCTAATAATGACCAAGTCTAACTAGTTGTCTGGCATTGTCTTTGCTAGATCCTGGCTCTGCCTACACCTAGCCTAACCGAATAAGGCATAGCGTATTGGTTACAAGATTTAATATATTTGTTAGGCAAGTTTCTTAGTCTTCATTTGTCTTTTCTCTTAATTCAGATTGGAAAAGAGAAATGAACTCTCTTTCAGTTCCTATGCTACTTCTCTATTTATCATTAGTACAAAGGCAGAAAGCATTATTTCTATAACTTGAAGAAAATTTATATGGCTAAAGAGCTAGATTTTCACTCTGATGGTATTTAAGTGCTGTTGTTGTTAGGTGCCATTGCTTTGGCTCTGACTCACACTGACCCTATGTACAACAGAACAACATCCTCACAATTGTTGCTATGCTTGCAGCCACTGTGTCAGTCCATCTCATTGAGGGTCTTCCTCTCTTTCGCTGACCCTCAACTCTACCAAGCATAGTGTGCTTCTCCCGGGACTGGTCTCTCCTGATAACATGTCCAAAGTATGTGAGATGCAGTCTCAACATCCTTGCTTTCAAGGTCCATTCTGGCTGAACTTCTTCCAAGACAGATTTGTTCCTTCTTCTTGCAGTCCATGGTATAATCAATATTCTTCACTAACACCATAATTCAAAGGCGTCAAATCTTCTTCGGTCTTCCTTGTTCATTGTTCAGCTTTTGCACGCATATGAGGCAACTGAAAATACTACGGCTTGGGTCAGGTGCACCTTAGTCCTCAAAGTGATGCCTTTGCTTTTTAACACTTGAAAGAGGTCTTTTGCAGCAGGTTTTCCCAATGCAATACATCACTTCATCTCTTGACTGCTGCTTCCACGGGCGATGATTGTGAATACACGTAAAGTGAAATCCTAGACAACTTCAATCTTTTCTCTGTGTATCATGATGTTGCTTATTGGTGCAGTTGTGAGAATTTTTGTTTTCTTTATGTTGAAGTGTAATCCATACTGAAGGCTGTAGTATTTGATCTTCATCAGCAAGTGTAAAAATGGCATGGGGGTGCTGTCCTCCTCTAACTTCACAAGGGGAAAAGAGAACTAAGATCAACAACCCACGGCTGATTCTCATGAGGTAGAAGCCAGACAAGTCTCCTCTCTCGGCCGTCTTTACTAATTCTGACACCAGCCATCCCTCACACAGTACTCTCTACTTCTCTGCTGGGTTCAATAATTCATTGCAATGGCTACAAAGAACCCAAAGACCATACTCACAATTGTGGGGTTTATCATAAGGGAAGTAACAGTTATAATTCAGGCTCAGGAACACTCAGGATACAATTCTTTCATCAGGACAGCCTCTTCCCAACTGTGTTCACAGGCACGCTGCTCCCTGGACCTAGGCCTCTCCCCAAAGGCACTCAGCTTTCTCTCTCCATGGGCCGGGAAGCCCACCATGCCATCTCCTGATGCCAGGTGTCTGATGCCAGTTCTCTCTCGCCACCGCTTCTCACCATCTTCAGGGTTACTGCTTGCTCTTTCTCTGGGTCTCCTGCTTCCAGGAGCTTCTCAGTGCAGGGATACTAGGTCCAAAGGACGAGCTCTCTGCTCCTGGCTGTTCTTCCTGGGTGGTGGTAGGATTCTCCTCTCTGCTGTGGAATTGGCTCTCTTTTAAGGCAAAACTGATCAATCCCCTAGGTGGGCCACAATTTCCCTATCACACTGTCCCACCCAATCCCCTGGGTGGGAGTTACAAGATCATGGCTAGAAAGGCCACACAAAAGTAAAAGTAATCACACTGCAAAGCAAGTGCTTCAGGTCCTCTTCACTTTCAGCAAGCAAGGTTGTATCATCTGCATATTGCAGGTTGTTAATGAGTCTTCCTTCAACCCTGATGCCCCTTTCTTCTTCACATAGTCTAGCTTCTCGGATTATTTGCTCAGCACACAGATTGAATAAGTATGGTGAAAGGATACAACCCTGACACACACCTTTCCTGATTTTAAACCATGCAGTATCCTCTTGTTCTGTTCAAACCACTGCCTCTTGGTTTATGTACAGGTTCCTCATGAGCACAATTAAATGTTCTGGAATACCCACTCTTCACAGTGTTATCTGTAATTTGTTATGATTCACACAGTCGAATGCCTTTGCATGGTCAATAAAACATAGATAAGTATCTTTCTGGTATTCTCTGCTTTCAGCCAAGATCCATCTGACATCAGCAATGATATCCCTTGTTCCACATCCTCTTCTGAATCCGGCCTGCATTTCTGGCAGTTCCCTGTCAATGTACTGCTGCAACAGTTATTGAAAACTCTTAGGCAAAATTTTACTTGCATGTGATATTAATGATATTGTTTGATAATTTCCGCAGTCTCTTGGATCATCTTTCTTGGGGATGGGCAAAAATATGGATCTCTTCCAGTTAATTGGCCAAGTAGCTGTCTTCCAAATTTCTTTGCATAGACAAGTGAGCACCTCCAGTACTGCATCCATTTGCTGAAACCTCTCAATTGGTATTCTGTCAATTCCTGAAGCCTTGTTTTTCACCAATGCCTTCAGTGCAGCTTAGGCTTCTTCCTTTAATACCATTGGTTCTTGATCATATGCTACCTCCTGAAATGGCTGAATGTTGATCAATTCTTTCTGGTACAGTGACTCTGTGTATTCCTTCCATTTTCTTTTGATTCTTCCTGCGTCATTCAATATTTTGCCTATAGAATCCTTCAATATTGCAACTTGAGGCTTGAATTTTTTCTTCAGTTCTTTCAGCCTGAGAAATGCTGAGTGTGTTCTTCCCTTTTGGTTTTCTAACTCCAAGTCTTTGCACATTTCATATTTCTCCATTTATCGTTAGTACAAAGGCAGAAAGCATTATTTTTATAACTAGAAGAAACTTATATGGCTAAAAAGATTGATTTTCACCCTGATGGTATTTAAGTAACTTCCACAAATTCAAGAGAATATCTTTTTTCATAGTGTTATCTACTAAAACATATCCCTTGGATGCCTGTCTTTGATCCAAACTGCATTACACACAATAATGGTGATTTACAGTTAGTTTACTAACAAATACCAATAAAATCATTATTTTAAAAATACAGGTATATTTATTTATACACATATAAAACATTTATCATAAGGTTTATAGGATCAGATTATCTAAAATACTGTGTAAAAAACATATAGTCCAAATGCATAATAACATTATGATACTCTGAAATATAAACATCATAAAAAATTAACCAAAAAAGCAATTTGATTTTTAAAGTATATAAAGTTTAAAAGTGAATTTGAATTTTATATAACTATAAATCATTGAATATAACTAGCAAAGTCAGATAGTTACATTTACAGGTTTTTTTTTCTTCCACTTGATCATTGTATGGGGGAAAACACAATAGTAATGCCAGAAAAGACTAAACAATAAGGAGAAAATATCTACCATATTATATGTATCTTGCAAATGTTTCCTACAAGTTCAGTAAAATGCAAGGGCTGATTTTGTTAGACTTTGTACACATAGTTCTGTATTGCCTGGGCCCAACTTTTATCACAGCATTTAGTTACATAGGCATTTAAATCAACTATGCCCACTCACTTATGTACATTAGCTTACAGTTTAACATGTTAAATTTTACTTTGAGGACCATCATTCAGTCAATGAATACTGAGAGTAATAACAGAAGATGAGGCTAATAAACAGCAAGGGAAGAACAAACACAAAATTCACAAAAGTCGTTATTTCTGAGAGAAAGGGTGGGAATTTTGATCGGGAAAGCACACAGGAAGCTGAAACAAGTACTTAAAGTTTCTATTTCTTAAGTCAAGTGATGATATCTAAGATGATTCACAGGTGTTAATTTTATTATGTTCCATAAAGTCACATACATGTTCCAGTATGCTTTTGTATGTGACAAATACTATAAAAAAGAAATCATCCATCCCCCCCAGATAAAAGGAAGCTCATGCAGTTTGCCCCAACACTGTGCCTAAACTAGCTGCATTATATTCAGGTTCTATATTCCAGAACTGAAATCGGAAGTAAGGTCAAACAGACAATTTTTTAATCTAACTTTTTAGAATAGATAAATTTCTATCATTGTTAAATCCAGCCCCAGACTGTTTTTAGTCTTCAAAATAACTCCTTATTAAAATTGGTTTTATAAAGTAAATTTTAACTGAAATTTAATGACTACACTACTATTGACTTGTATCCCAAAGCCGGGCAACAACTTTGCAGGGGAGGGGGAATAAAGAAAGTGTTGCTTCAGTTGAGCAAAGTATTTAAAGGACATTGACAAGGCAAGAAAGTTTCTTTTACAATTGGGATAAAAATCAAAAAACTAAAACCATTGCTGTTGAGTCGATTCTGACTCACAGCGACCCTGTAAGACAGAGTAGAACCGCCCCATAGGGTTTCCAAGAAATGGCTGGTGGATTTGAACTGCTGACCATTTGGTCAG